TTAAAAATAGCCACGCGTTTTGGCTACTTGGTTTCACCTACTTGGGAGCTACTTGGAAGGCTGAGGTGGAAGGATTGCCTGAGCCCAGCAGGTCAAGGCTGCAGTGGCCGTGAGTGTGCCACACTGCCTTCCAGTCTGGGCGACAGAGTAAGACTCCAACCAAAAAAAAAAAAAAAAAAAAAAAGCAGATTCCTGAGCCCCAACCTAAACGATGCTCAATTTCCTGGAAGCGCTTTCACGGTCTTCAAACGCCTTCCAGAATCATAGTTTTGAAAAAAGTACTGCAGCTGAGACATTGCAGGTCTCAAGCAGTTAGGTTTCATTTTCCTTCCCGTGACATTGAAGTCAGTTTCACTTTCCAGTTTCCAGTTCCCTTCCTTCAGAAACCGAGAGTAGTATCAGCTGATGCACTCCCCATTCCACCTCCTCCTTATTTACTTGAGACCGACAGGAAGATCACCAGTTTCCCAGCATTTCAGCACATCGAAAGGACGCAGAGGGAGGCTGCAGTCATGAGGTGAGTGAAGCAGGAATGTAAAACCACTCTTGTTGAATACAAATTGTAAACTGAGCTTCTTACCCTGCAGGCAAGATCCTGAACTGCGCCGTTATCAATGTCTGAGCCTTATCCGCTGTTTGCTTCTATTTTTAAAATTTCTGTGTGTGTGGTTTTTTGTTTTGTTTTGTTTTGGTTTTGGTGTACACATACAGGATCTTTATACTGCTAGAACTTTTCCCTGGACGGGCAGAAGTAGGAGCAGGGATGATAGGGAGGCTTGGCAGAAAAAGTTAGAATCCCTCAGGCACAAAGTTTGCTGATTCTATAGCCCTAAGGGTTAATTAATCTTGATGGGATTTTCTGTTTGTTTTAAAGGACTAGGTCAAAGGCTTTTTTTCTTGTAATTTTAAAAGGAAGCAAACGTTATTTTCAATAGCTATTGTGAAAGATGGGATTAGTACTGCCAAGCCAATTCTTGTAGAAGAAAAAGTTATCTTGATACATTTGATCATTGTCAGATGGGAAGTGGGAAAAAAAATTCTTATAAATGGGCTTTTTTTTCATTTCTTATATGAATACAAAATCTAAAGCTTGGAGTCTATTTTTGTTGCTGTAGTGAATGCTAGTTAGCAGCAGAAAATAATTTCTCCTCAAAAAATAAAATGACCCAAGCTCTGATCTAATATACTGGTCTAATCCCTGATGGAAAGCAGATCAGTGGTTGCCTGGAGGAGGTGGGGATTGGACAGGAAGGCTCACAGAGGAATCTTTGGGAAGGTAGGAATAGTTTATAGGGAGATTATGGAGGTGGTTATATAGGTATAAACATCTGTCAAAATCATCAAACTGTACACTTAAGATGGGTGCATTTCATTGTATGTAAAGTATAATTTCAGTAAACTTGATTTAAAAATCAAGTTGATTTTTAATTTCAGTAAACTTGATTTTTTTTTTTTTTTTTGAGTTGGAGTCTCACTCTTTCGCCCAGACTGGAGTGCAGTGGTTGCTCCCGGCCACCGCAGCCTCTACCTGCTGGGCTC